GAGGGACAGATAAAATGCCACAAAAGTTAAGAGAGGGAGAGGCAACTTTTGACTAAAACACTCGAGGGAAATTCCATGGAGCTGAGATAGAGAAAATTTGGAAATGGAGAGATGATTGGAAGGAGATTCCACGCAGAGGTAACATCATGAACAATGGCACAAAGATGGAAAAATATAGGACACATTCAGGAAAAAGCAGGAAGTCCAGTTTGGTGCCAGTTGTCCATTATTGAGTGAAGCAGGAGATCAGGGAGAAAGACAAGTGAGAGAATATTCACAGGAGGTCGTTAAAAGCAAATATTTATGTGATACTTTAGAGTGTACAAGATTGATGAGACAACTATTATTTTCATTTGACAAATGAAAAACCTGAGGTTCAGAGAGGCAAAGTTACCCACTCAGAAGCATGCAGTGAGAAGGTTTCACATGTCATTAATTGATTCAAAGAATACTTGTGGCAGGGCACAGCGGCTTGCGCCTGTAATCCCAGCACTTTGGGAAGCCAAGATGGGAGGATTGCTTGAGCCCAGGAGTTTGAGACCAGTCTGAGCAACATAGGGAGACACCATGTCTACAAAAAAAAATTAAAAATTAGCCAGATGTGATGGCTCTTGCCTGTAGTCCTAGATACTTGGGAGGCTGAAGCAGGAGGATCACTTGAGCCCAGGAGGCTGGTGCTGCAGTGAGCCGTGTATGTGCCACTGCACTCCAGCCTGAGTGACGGAGAGAGACCTTGTCTCAAAACAAAAGAAAAGGAAACGGAAAAAAAAAGATTAATTATTAGGTCAGGTGCTGTGCTAGGCAACAAAGATAACCATGAACCAGGCAAACATAGTCATCGTCTTCACACCACCACCAATCTAGGTAAGAAAAGCACCGTTATAAAGAAATCACTACAATCGAGTATGGTGTGTGCTACACGGAAAAAGTACAAGATGTTTTGTGGGGCCAGTAGCTCAGGGAGACTGGGAAGATTTCAAGAATTAAGCGGAATTGAAGCCCTAAAGATGCAGAGGAGTTAGCTTGATAATGGGGGGTGGGGTGGGGATAAAATATGGTAGAGAATATTTCAAACAGAACATTCCAAGAACACGCGAAGGCCCAGAGGAGAGAGAAAAATGGGGGTATCTTCCAGGCAGTGAGGAGCTTAAAGGACACAGTCAAGACAGCAAAAGCTGGAGAGGTTGGCAGAGGCCAGGTTCTGAGAACAGAGGGTAGAATGGAGGTTGGAGGGTGCAGCAGGGGAGACATGGCTAGGTTTAGGTAGCAAAAGAACAGTAAAGCTATGAAAAAGAGATAGGATTAGATAGAATAGAAATGGGGCCAGATCAAAAGTGTTTGGAACCCAAACCGAAGACTATTTGACTTGAAGATTATGGGCTCATCACTTCCCGCTCTTTCTGGGGTAGCAGCAGGGAATCCCTGAGGCTTTGGAGGAGGTGAACGATAGCAGCAGAGCTATGTATTGGGAAGATGAGCCTTGGAGCCGCATGGAGGGGCAATGATGACTCATTCACTCTTTTATTTTTTTCATTCAATAAATACTTGCTGAGTACCTAGTATGTGCTAGACACCATGCAATACTTTTAGGCTTGGAGACTGGAAGGATGGTGTGTCGTTAGCAGAGCTGCAAACACATTTTAAAAGTCTGTTCTCTAATAATCCTTTAAGACCCAATTTGAAAGCCCTCATCCATAAAGCTTTCCCTTCCATTGTCACTTAAAACTTCCCTTCTCATAGGCACTTACTCTGTTCCATGACATCAGGCAGCCTTGTTGCTGCTGTCTCAGACTCATTCACTAATTGACACTACACATCTTATCTCAAGTGTTCCTCAGGACTCTTAACCTGCATTATTTTTAAGTTCTGGAGTGCCTCATGTAGTTCTGGACACACAACAAATGATTAGCTAAGAGGGCTGAATGACTGGACAAATGAATGAATGAACAAGATTTGCATGAGGGCGATCTTTGAATGTTTGCTGAGATGTTATGTTTTATCATGTTGGATTCCATTCATCTCATCCCATGAAGACACTAATAACAAACACTTGTTTTAACTTACAAAAGTTTAAACATCAGTCCTTAACATACCATAATATCGTCCCCTAGTCATTATAATTTTTGCCTTATATAAGGTGTATTGGAAGCCTAGTGGCCTGCTTTATAAACAACAGAATATTCAGTATTGTAAAAGTGCAAAGTAATTCAAGCAAGAAATATATATCCCCAATACTTATGAAACACTTACTTTGCATCTCCTGATGACCAGCTCTGACCAGCTACTTTCTACAAGGAATTGGGAGCATGCATTGAACACTTTTTATGTGCCAGTAAATGTCCTAGGAGTTGTATTTGCATTATTTCATTTGTAGGCTTCATAGTAAAACAGGATATACACAGAGATTTCTTCTGCTCTGGTTTGTACTTGACTACTGTATATAACTTGATTGATTAAGCAAGGAATATATTTTTGCATCATGTAGACTTCACTTGGTCACTACACAATTGTAACAGGGAATTGGCGCCTCATCCTCTAAAAAGCTGGTATTCCAGTAGACCAACATCTGGCAGCTTTGTTTGGGAAGCCAGCTTGACTTCTGTTTTGTTGTTAACCATTTGTAATTATGAACTCTGATACTGTTTATTTTAAAGGCCCAGGAACCTGTTTCTTTTGATCTGGTTTTTGTTTTGTTCATAATTTGGGGCTTTTAGGTTTGTTTCTGCTCAGTTTTGATCCCTCTATTTAGGATTTTTAGTCTACAATAACAAAATATACTTGTTATTCGTTTCCTAGGGTTGCCATAACAAATTACCATGAATTTGGTGACTTAAAACAACAGAAATTTATTCTGTCATAGTTCTGGGGACTCAAGCTTCAAAATTAAGGCACTGGCAGGACAGGTTCCATGTGGAGGCTCTGAGGGAGAGCCCATGTCGTACTCCTCTCCAGCTGCTGGAGGCTGGCTGAGAGCCTTGGCTTTCTTGGCTTGTAGCTACATCAATCTAACCTCTGTCTCTGTCTCCACGTGGCCTTCTCCCCTGCCTCTCCATGTCTTTCCTCTTCCGTCTTTTACAGAAATGTGTGTCCCTGGATTTAAGGCCCACCCTGTTAATACAGGATGACATCATCTCCAGATCCTTCACTTAATGACACCTGCATAAAACCCTTTTTTCAAAATAAGGTCATATTCACATATTCAGAGGTTCCTGGTGGGCATATCTGTTGGGGAAAGGAGGAGGTACCATTCAACCCACTACAATACTTACAGCTATCTTTTTCAATGCAAATTTTAATATTGAAAATCCCACAGGAAAAATTAAAATGGTTGTTATTACAAGTCTGAAACTCTCTAACTCCTAACTCTTTTTTCTCCACTGAAAAATTGCTTTGTAATGAAACTTTCATTATAAATGAATACATAATTAACATAAATGAATAAATAAACCACACTTTCTTAGGATTGTGAGTTATATATAAGTGAGTTAGTATCTGTAAGGCACTCAAAATAATACCTAACACATAGAATGCCTTCTACATTAGATAAATAATAAAATTATGTTCTAGAAGAGTTGACTGTATTATTGTTCCATTTTACAGATGAGGGACTAGGAAGTTCAGTGAGGTTCAGTTACCACCCCAAAGAGTAAAAGGACACGATTCAACTCGCATTGTCTGACTCCAAAGCCATGTTCTTTCACTGCACCACAGTGCCCAGGGTGAAGCTGGGAGGAAATAGCCTGAAATTGCCATGGCTCTGTTCCAAACGGCCCTGAACCTTGGTCAGAGTTGGCCCACTGGAGAGGGGACGTTCATCAGAGAAAGTTCTGGGGGCCAAGTCAGAGGTCAGTTACTATGAGGATTCGTCTGAAATTTGCAGAGGTATAGGAGGGATGATGGTCCATGAGAAGAACATAAACAAACAGGGCTGGTGGAGTAAAAGAGGGATTTGATGCAAAAGAGAGAACCCGGTGAGGTCCTGGTAGTTGTGGGGAAGTGGGATTCCATGAAAATAGAGAATGTGCAGTAGCTGAAGCTTTTGGGGGCCACCCCTGCAGGACATGCCTGATAACATATCCTGTACAAAGGCTGAGTAAGGAGACCCCCTACCATATTTGAGGGATAGACAAGGTGTTGTTTCTCATACCCTCACAGTACAACACACAAGAATAAAAGCAAAGAAGAGAGGGAAATCAGAGAGGTTAGGTTTCAGAAAGAAACGCAAATGAAGGCCCCTGAAACACACCATCTAGGCAAAAGAGGATCATAAGTGCTTTTTTATAAACATGCACCCTCTTCTACTTTTCTAAATTTTCCAAATTTTCTAGGCACAATATATTCTCATTTTACAGTAGAAAAACTAGCAATAACTTTTTAAGAAAATTTTATTTTGTATATATTTTTTGAGACAGTGTCTCTGTGTCACCCAGGCTGGAGTGCAGTGGTGTGATCATGGCTCACTGCGGCGTGGACTTCCCAGGCTCAAGCAATCCTTCCACCTCAGCCTCCTGAGTAGCTGGGAATACAGATTCACCATGATGCCTGGCTAATTTTTGTATTTTTTGTAGAGACAGGGTTTCACCATGTTGCCCAAGCTGGTCTCAAACTGCTGGGCTCAAGCGATCCTCCTGCCTTGGCCTCCCAAAGGGCTGGGATTACATGTGTGAGCCACTGCACCTGGCAAAAATAACTATTTTAAACCCACTTTATTGAAAAGCAAACATTCTTTGTAGGCCATACACTCTGATGGGAGCTCAAGCTGTATCAGCTGAGGACTGTTAGAGGTCAAAGAGATAATATGAAAAACATGTAGAAACATCAAGATAAATAATAATAGTAATAAAGCATCCATGGCATCTTAGTAAGGTGACTATGTCTGTCATGTTAGGGACTTTCATTAGGAAAAAGAGAATGTTAAATGGAATGATGAAGGAGAGGAACGGCTAAATGAATACTTTGAATCAGTATTTATTGAAGAAGACAATGGGGAAATTCTTGTTCCAAGGACACATTTTATGGCAAAGCAGAGAACGGCCTTGACAGAGATTCTTCAGTCTCTGAGGAGAAAGGTATGGAGCAACTTGAGGGACTCTGTGCAGTAAATCATCAGGACCAGATGGTATTCATCCATGGGTTCTGAATGAGATAAAGTGGGAAATCTCGAGTTCAGTGACAAGGATATATAAGAGATGCTTAAAAACAGCCAATATCCCTGAAGATTGCAAAGTCATTAATATGGTATCAAATATGTGTGTGGAGTGCGTGTGTGCACACACGATCCTTGAGTATCCTGGAGCCTTTGTACGGGCTGGGGTGGGGAACAGGTTTGATTTTCTTTCTTTAAAAAACAACAACAACAACAACAAAAAAAAAACAAGAAAGACTCCTTAATGAAACAAAGGACAGAGAAATTTTAGGTAGCAGAAAGAGCATCAAAAGATAGGAGGCCAAATTTAAGAGCTGTTTAATAACATTGAGCAGTTATTTTCCAGGCACTTAGGGAAACACTAGGATATAAAGACAAATAAACATGCCTTCTGTCTAATGAGAAAGTTTATAAGCTAATGACTTTGGTTATTTTCATGGTCCTGCTACTGGCTTTGATGGTAATTGGCAATGTAGCACCTCTGGCACCACCAGTGGATGTAAGAAACATCTGGTAATTTTTTCTCACTAACAAAATCATAAAGAAAGTTTCGGGTTGTTTGGCAAAATGTGGGGACTGGGAAAGCAGAGATAGACTTTCACCTCTTTCCCATAGGAGTCAGTCTCTGAATCCTAAGAGTTATCCATTTGGTAATAATGGTAAAAACAGAGTAGCTAACATTTATTGAGTGCTTACTAAGTACCAGGCTCTTGCTTGATTCTTTACCTGTATCTCTCATTTCATTCTCTAAACAGTTAATAAATAGAAGACCTAGAATTTGAACTGTAGTAGTACAATTCCAAAGTTCCTGCCTTTAACCATGACTCTATACTGCCTCTCTATGTGTGTGTTTTATTCATAAAAGGGAATTAAAAGTTTCACAAAACAATTCTTACCCTTATTGCAGATGATTCTCTTCTGTTTTATTAAAAGAATGGTGCTCTCAAACCTCCAAACTGATTTCATGGCCCACCAACAGGTCACAATCCACAGTGTCTAGAGAAATAAGAGTAAGTAAGTAACCACATCCTCTTCAACACAAAGGAATGCAAAGCTAAATGAAAGCTCTGGTATTGAAATCTCAATGCATTAGTAAAGGTAATCAGACCACTTTTTAATTGTCTTGGACCATTTCGAGGTGCTTTTAACATGGGGGCAGCTGCTATGTTCCTTCCACTCTCCTTACTTTAGAAGAAACTTAGAAAAGTGTTCATTTCTTCACATTGAATCGTTGGGAAAGAACCCTAAGGGTTAAAAAGCTATTTCTTACTTTGACCTGAAATCTGACCACCTGAAACTTCTATCCACTAATTCTGGTTCTACCACTTGGGACACACAGAATATTCTAATGATTTTTCTACCTAATATCCTTGAAATATTTGGAATGCATTAGTGTTCCTCCTGGTTGTTTTCCCCTTCGGCATAAACATTTCTAGATCTATTAACCATGGGTGAGTAAAAACTCAAAACCCAATCCAAACTGGCCTAAGCAAAAAGGGGCTTCATCAGCTTATATAATAGAAAAAGCCAAGGCTTGTCCTAGCTGCTGGCACAGCTTGATCTGGGGCCAAATTAATGACACCAGAAAAGACCAAACTCAGCATTATTGTCCACCATATTTGTTCCGATCTCCTGTGGAATATGGCTGAAGCAGCCTCAGACTTACATCTTCTCATGAATAAAGTCCAGCAGGAAAGTTCATTTCTTTCCCAGAAGTTTCAGCAAAGATTCTCTTCCATCTCAGCGGCTCTGAAGAGGCCATGTGCCCAGTCTTCCAGCTCTTACTGTGGTCAAAGGCACTGGATGCTTTGATTAGCCAAGCTTTAGTCTACCTCTGGGTTGAGAGGGCAGAGACGCGGTCTCTAAGAGGGAGATTGCAGGGGAGGAGTCTGGGATAAAGAGAGGCTGGATAAGGAAAAGGCAATAGATGTCCATTACAAACTGTTGCTCACATTTCAGTGGTAAACTACTTCATCAAAGCAGCCTACCAAACATCAAAATAAAACACACCGGTTAGCCTTGAAAGTTCCCACAGGTCGGGGGGAGACAGATTGGCGCTGGGCAATAATGCCACAGTTATGCCCACCCATACACCGAAACGATGCCCCAGTAGAATAGTAACTCTTTACTCCTCACCTGCCATCTCCTCTGTGTAGCTTTTCCTATTTCACGCCCTTCATAGAGCTCCTATTGGCACTTCTACTATATTGCAATTATTTGTGTTGCAGGCTATGTTCTTCCTGACTGTGAGTTCCTTGAAGATGTGGATTATTTTATGAATCTCTATATTGCTCACACCTTGAAAATGCTGGACAAAGAGGCATATAATGATTGCCATGTGAATGAATTGCCCTGAGACCATCGAAGAGGATACTCCATAGCAGCTCTTTGAGCATGGGATCAACCTTCATCTTTCTCAAGCTGCATGGATTTTGGTATCCACACCCATAAAATCAACAGAAAAAAAAATGCTTTCAGATTCCCTGGCATCCTGGGGCATGGGTGGGTAACACGGCAAAGCTGAGCAGGAGAAATGGGAAGAAGACAGGGTCTATCAGACAGATGGGCTTGAAATTGTAGACCATGATTACAGATTAGAAAGCTGAGCCCAAAATGTCACAAACGTTAGAATTAGCAGTCCATAGCAACTGAGTTTAGGACTGACTCTCTTTACTCTGCTTCTTTTTAAACTGCCAGAGGTGCTGGGAAAGGGAAGAAGGTTAGGGATGAATCTGGAGAAAAACGAGCCTTGACTATGGCCAATACGAGATCTGATTTCCTACCCTCAGTTAAAGTGGGAAGAAAAGGCTCAACAATAGGTATTTACCCAGCATCCCATGTGGAAGGACACAAACACGGTTCCCCATCACCGGGTTCACGTGCTATTGGCAAGAACTGCAAGAATTACTTACCTTGTCTCACATATTATTTAAGACTGAGGCAATACTTAATGCCTCTACAAAATGGCTTAAGCTCCTAAGATAAAAGAAGCTATAGAAATGAAGAAACATTTAAAACTGTTCAAAGCATGATGTAGGCTAAAAAAAATGAAAAAAAAAACCTGTTATGTTGATGAATCCTTCAACGCACAATTTTATGCCAACACAAGTTTATGCAGAAGATGCAGATGACAGAAATGTTTTTCCTTCGCCTCAAACAGGGAGTCAAGTTGGAGAAGCAAGCATGAAAACAGAAACTAACCTTAAGCCAAAGCACAGGCCTTTAGCAATATTACTATATGCCCACCAGTCACCTGCCTGTGGAAATGAAATCATAATCATTCCCCTTTGCTCCCCTTCCTCTGCCACCCATCACAGGCAGTGAGTACTGTCACAGGGGTATGAAATAGCAAATAATGATGCCAATACTTTTCTTACTGCCTCCTAAAGACAGTCACTATTTATGGAACAGCAGTTTATAAGCTCAAAGTAATGATGGACAAATTGATTAAGAGATGCTTAATCTAAGGATTAGCATTTAGCAAATGCTGCTTAACATAGCCAACAAGGATTCAAAAGAGGAAACAGCTGCGTTGTTTAGGAATTTGTTTGTAATAAAAGAGTAATTTTTTTGCCAGTAAAATTTGGCCTTAGTAAATTCTTTAGCATCATCTCTTTCTTGTTGGAAGTCCCAAGCTGGAAACTTCCTGGGATCAATATTCTAAAGACATGGTTCCTGGGTCTGAGGGGGAGGCAACAGCACTAGAGACATCAGAGAGTTCTGGGCTCCATCCCTTCCTAACAAAGAAGCTGTCTGAATTCTCTTAGCCTCAGACATCCTATCCACAAAATAGGGCTGATAAGCGATACCTTACAGGGGTTGTTGTGAACAATAAATAAGCAATCATGCATAAAGTTTCTAGCACTCTACGTCGGAGCTAAGAGGTTTTCAATCAATGTTTGTTCCTTGCCCTCCTTCCCTCGTCTTCTAGGACTTCCAGTATACTGTTTTAAAGCTACATTTTTGGCAAAAAGTGCAAAACTCCGTCTCAAAAAAAAAGTAACTTTGGTAACCAACAAAACGGTTAAAGGAAAGAAAAGAAACAATCAAAATTTTTCAAAAAAAGAAATTTTTTTTCTTTCGTTGTGTTTCACACCATATAAGCACCTTTAACAAAAAGCCTGAGAATGATGATGAGAAAAACAAAAAGCAGTGTGAGTATCTGTGTGGATTCTTTCTGTAAATTAAAGTCGTTCTTCTAGTAAGTTGATGAGGGGACAAGAAGGAAGATGGAGGAGACAAAAATTCAAAAATTTAGGGATGTCTATTATGTGATAGGAACTTAGTAGGCATGTTATATAACAGTACCTTTTTGTTGTTGTTGTTGTTGTTGTTGTTGTTGTTGAGATGGAGTCTCTCCTTCTGTCAGCCAGGCTGGAGTGCAGTGATGCAATCTTGGCTCACTGTGACCTCCGCCTCCCAGGTTCAAGCGATTCTCCCACCTCAGCCTCCCAAATAGCTGGAATTACAGGCACCCGCCACCACGCCCAGCTAATTTTTGTATTTTTAGTAGAGATGAGGTTTTACCATGTTAGCCAGGCTGGTCTCGAACTCCTGACCTCAGGTGACCAGTGCTGGGATTACTGGCATGAGCCACCGTGCCCTGCCGACATTACCTCCTTAATAAATATGATTGTATCTTGACCCCTTTGTGACATCAAACCTCAGCTCTGCACCTTGATAGTTGTGTGACTTTGGGCAAGTTATTTGACCTCGCTGTGCCTTAGTCTCAACATTTGTAAAATAAGGAAAATAATAGTGCATACCTCATAGGATTGTTAGAATTAGATGAGTTAAAACATGTGAAACCCTTAGAACAGAGCCTGGCACATAGTAAATATTGAATAAACATAGTTGTTAACAATCATAAGGATAATGATAGTGACAATATTTTAAAGCCTTTAAAATCAATGGTGGCACACAGTAGTTGCTTAATAAATGCTGCCTGTTATTACTCGGATAATAAAAGTAAAAGATTATTTCTTTTACAAAAAAGCATTCTCTTTCATTAAGTTGCTTCTTTATAGGAGCTGTCTCTATACTAAGCAGAAATATATGAACATCCACTCTGCTTTTATTTTATAGATTATCAAATCAGAAGATAAATTTCTTGCCTCTTTATACAAAATCTCTTTTGGAGCCTATAGTGAGTTGGATAAATGCTCTGAGTATCAGGCCATTAGGCAGAATTTCCAAGGATAGCAGTTCCTTAAGTCTTTCTCTGCCCTTATCCCCACTTACCCCCAAAAAACACCCAGTCAGTGCCTAAGGGCCTCCAGGGAGGTGTCTTCTCCATTTCTCACAGCCCCATCCTCTCTGTCCCTCTCCCACCTCTCCAGCTCTTTACCTGTCACTCAGTGCACACTAAGATTCAGCAAAAGCAAACATGTGGAGCCCCCGACCACCACCATACCTTCTCTCAGGTTCACCAACTTTGCTTTGGCTTCTCTCTGTACCTGAATTGATCTGTCCTAGACCACAGGAGGCATTCAGTCCAGGTTTACTGACTGAAGGACACTGAACTGCAAAAGAATCTGCATACCAAAGAAACTGTGTGCCATTCAGACCTGGGCTCACCGCAAATATTTACTCTTTAATCATTTCTGCGTGTGCCTTCAGTTAGAGGAAAATAATGCATGTGTCTTAAACAATTTTCAATATATGACAGCAGAAATAGTTCCAGATCACCATATAAACAGATACTAAAGCAGCAAACCTCATGACATTGATTCGGAAGGCATAGAATTGTCTAGATACTTAGAATAATATTGAACATGGAGACTTGATTGAAAATGGACTTTTTCAAACTATTTAATTTAATTAATTAATTAATTTATTTTTGAGACGGAGTCTTGCTTTGTTGCCCAGGCTAGAGTGCAGTGAC